CTGCCCTCGATATATCAAGCCCTTCATTCACATCAAAAAAATTTTCTCCATCATGTAGCAGCCCCTATTTTATGTGAGACTTTAAAAAAAGTTAATGTAATCTCCTGATTAAGGAATCATATTCAAAGTAAATCCACTTGGAAAGTGAAAAACAGGACACTTGCTTGAATTTCCTAAATATTATAGGGCAGGTCCTATTTGCCTTAAGTAGTAAAGAGAATAAAGAGAAAAGAGATTATCCTTTGAGTCAAATAAATTGAGTCATCTCATTCAAGGGTAAAGAGACAGATTGTCACTAAATTCATTGGAATAACTACTTCACTGAAGATGGTGTTTTAGTTTAATCAGTGAATATTAAACTGTGATACTGTTGTAAGGATTAAATAATATAATGTGAGAAATTAGAATGTATAGTACATAAAGGCTATTATTGTAGTTAATATGATCAGAATTACTGTCTGATTAGAATACCAACAAGATTGGCAAGGTGGTAATTCTGGGGAGTTAAGTAATCCCGGCTTGGAAAGGTTTTTCTGGTCCGGATGAATTATCTGTCAACCACCCCCACCCCTCCCACCTCTCTTCTGAGTCAGTGTACACCAATCTATAGCAAGCTACTCAGCTTTTTCATTCCCCCCGAATAGAATAGGTACAGATATGTAGGAAAGGACTTGAGTATTCCCATCACTAGAATGTCACACTCTACTTAAATAATCTTCTTGGCATTCTGGTTTACATAATCAGTTTCAACTGAATTTATTTTTGAGTCATTGTGATCGCTTCTGGATGTCCAAAGCAAGTCCATCTCTCAGGCAGGGAGTCTGAAAAATAGGCCATCCTTTGAGACTTATTGTGACTTGCCACTAGTATATCTTCAGATATACACACTGTTACCTTAAAACTTCATTCAAAATTTCAAATCTATAATCTTTCATTAAAGTTCAGAGCTGATTTACCACTTTCTAGATGATTCCTCAAGAAATCCTAGCAAGTGAAGAGTTAAGATATTTCCAAGTGACATACTTGACAGTCACAATAAATTAGAAAAGGCTGCAGGAAAGAAAAGTTTCTATAAAATCATAATAGCAGGTGTTTAGAAGATATGAAGACAAACTCATTTTTGTTTTTTTAATGGGGTATGACTTAAGAGGAGAAAACAAGGACAAATTATTAGAAATCAATGGCAAACATTTCAGAATCATTCTTAATACGTTGCTCACCTTTCTACCTCATAATCAGTCACCAAAAGCTTCTAGTATTCTATACTATAGTGTACAAGAGTTTCTATATCCTAACCAACTCATCTTCATCCTTATCTTAAAATAAGCCCTCACCACCTATTGTCCCCCATTTCATCTTTCTTCATTCTGCTAAGGCCACTAGCTTCATATATTTCTGAAGTATAGGTAGAATCGTATCAATTTACTGCTTAAAACCTCTCACAACTTCAATTGTTTGTAGCAATGTTTCACAAGACAAGGTATTTAGAGATATTCTTAAAGATATGAACCTTATATCATGATGTTTAAACATTGGATTTTTTAATATATCTCTTTTATAGGGAAGATATGAATGACATTCGCATAAAACAAACTTTAGATTCTTAATTCTGTAGGGATCTGTGAATGTATATTAAGGGGCCTAACTATATTTTTCCCCTCCAGCAATAAATCCAAGAGGATATATAAATAACTTTAGTAGACAAAAACACAACTGCCTCTCCATCCAGGACTGACTGTGAGAATTTTTCTGTGGGTCACACATTTCATACTGCTCACAAGGCCCACAATAAAAAAGGGCAGTAACTGTGAAGTTCAAGCAAAACCAATCATTCAATTCCACCTGCCTTTCTGGAGACAGCAGAGTGCAATGGTTGCCTTTGCTCCTGCTTCTCCAGTCCTGCTCTCCTCATAGCTACATCTCCTTGGGCTGTCCTTGTAGGCCAGGTCATCCCAACCCCCACTCTGTCTGGGTTTGAGATCTAATACGCCTCTCTGACAAGCAAAACTTACTTCCAGATCTTTGCCTCTAATATTCTTCCTTCCCCATTGAAAGGAACCAATGTTTCTTGGAGATATGGCTGATTCCAGGCCTGGGGCAGTATGGTGCAAGATGACTCTAAAACATTTTGTTATACTAGAGAGAAGGTGCTAAACATAATGATGGAGATATAAACCAGAGACATAAGAACCGTCTTGAAGGTGCACTCACAGGTGAAATCTGGGACCAGATGATCACCAATGTGAGATAGACGGTCAGCATGTGCCTTCAGATATGACACCCTCTGAGAAAGACACAGATTAGCTGTGTAGAATTATGGCTAAGAATACATTACTTGGATCCAATCATGAGGACATATCAGACAAACTCAAACTGAGGAAGATTCTATTTTAAAATGTGGGGAGGGACTGTACTCGCCAAAATGTCAATCTCATAAAAAATAAAAGGGTGTGGAAATAGTTCAGATTAAAGAAGGCTAACAAGCATGACAGCTAAATGCTGCTTAACCCTAGAAAGGATCCTGTTACAAAGAAAGAAAAAATCCTATAAAGGCTAGTATTAGGTCTATTGAAGAAAACTGGAATATAAATATCAGATGGGAGTAAAGCATTCTATCAATATAGACTTTGCTAAAGTTGATAACTGTTCTGTGGTTATGTAAGGGAATATTCCTGTTCTAAGGAAAAACACTGGAATGTCCAGGAGTAAAGGATTCTGCTCTATGTAACTTACTTCTAATGGTTCAGATTTGGAGACAGGAGGAAAAGCAAACAAGATAAAATATGAACAGTCGGAAATCTGGGTAGAGTATATGTGTGAGTTTTTTGGTACTCTTTTTACTGTTGCAATTTTTCTGTAAGTTTAACATTATTTCTGCATCAATGTTTAAAGAAAAGAGTAAAAAATGTTTCCCTGGTGAGGAAAAGCCCTTGTTAGATCAAATCAATGTTTTCTAACATTTTCCTACCAGTACATTGGTTTCATATAACAGATACAGTTAAGCTAAGCAGTAGGTGAGATGCAATTTGAAGTACCTTAGATATTATGTATGTATTCAGTTATCAATATTTATTGAACACATATCATGTGCCGGATAATGTGGTATAATATGCCTTTTCTCTCCTCAAGAAAGCATACTTGATAGGTGTGAGTGAGAATAAATGATTGGAAAAGAAGAAAGAATTCACAAACAGTTTATTAGTGACAGCAAATTATTTGTAATAAACTTCATGTTCTCTACTCATCTCTGTGCATTAGAAACTCATTTGAAAGCCGCTGGCTAAGTTAACACAGCTCAAGCCACTTTTCTTTTTTGATTTGAGGCCCAGAGAAGTGAGGCTCCCCTACTGTACTTTTGTGACCAGCCCATGTGCCTTAGGAACAAAGTTCATGCTTTCTCCAGTCTCTAAGTGTGGAGCCCCTCTTTGCAATGTCATTAAGTCAGCATTTGTGGTCCTGTCAAGCCCTGCACTGTCCACGGGGATACCCAGTCCTCCCAGATGGTGACTGTCAGTTTTTGTGTGTGCCTTTGTCTCAGCTTGTAGTGACGGAGACTTCTGGGCACCATGCGTTGCCTTCACATATATTATCGAAGGGCCAACTTTATATTGTCCATCTTCAAGAAACTCGTGCACTCTGGGTCGTCAGAGTACAATGGATAGGACTCTTGGATTTTGGCACTTGACAAATCTAAGAACAGATTTAGCTCTGCCATCTAACACATGGGCGATAGTAGCCAAATTACTTAATATCTCTCTTAATTCCTCAAACTGGAAATGATGATGCCATCCTTCTCAGAGGGTGATTGGAAGGGTTAAGTGAGATAGTGCTATGCAAATGTTTAGCGCAGTGCCTTGTACATAGTGATTACTTGGAAAATGATAGTCATGCATATTACTTTCGGAAAATAATCGTACTTCTTATTTTAACAGCTGGCACCAGGATTTCTCTTTAGGGTGTCATTCCCCTTGTTGAAATTGCTTCTGGGGGAGCGTAAGGCCTGGAGTTATAGATTGGAAGGATCCAGGGAAATGAAAGAGACAGGGAACCTACACTACATTGTTCAGCAACAGAAGTTAAAGGGTAACACAGGAACCAAAAGGACAAAAGCAAAACAAGACAAAAAGTTAAGGATAGTGAGGTAAGGAAAGAGAGCAAGGTTTGTCTACATGCCAGAGTTTTAGGAGGTGGACCATCTAGTGCAAACCCTGAGTTGTTTTTCTTGCCACACGTCAGTACCTGATGTCTTTCCAACCCTCCAGCTCAATCTGGGCCTTGAATGAATGTTCTTGGTTTTTTGTTTGTTTGTTTTGTTTATAGGTTTGTTTCCATAATTAAAATCGAGGTGACTGGGCAGCCTTGAGCAGAGAAGAATGAACAGGTGCTGGAGGGAAGATGCAAGCAAGATGGAGAGCTCTGCAGGAGAAGTAAGTAGGACCCAAAAGAGACCATGAAAAGGAATCTCTGATGAAGCAAATAATCTTAAGGGATAATGGGATAGGAACTTAATCCCTGTGTGTGGGTTTTATCCTTATAATAGTTAAAGGAATGGACTTGCCTCAAAGATCCTAGTGTCCAATATAATGTACACTAGGTAAAATACTTAAACTAAAAAAAAAAGTATTATAAATCTACAGTCCTATATCTATAATCCCCAAAATACAAAAAGTTCTGTAAATGTATTATTTTGTTTGGCACCAGTACTCTTTTAGTGGAAATACCTGACTTCCTTTGCTATCAGGCTGCCGTTGTCTTTGTTTATTGGCACAGTGGGTATAGTCATACATATTGCTAAAGAGTTATTGATGCGTTGGATTATGGTGTGCTGACCAGACTCTGCTAGGGTTATTGGCCACTGACGTACATGTGCCACATGCCCTTACTCAACTCAGAAAATACTAAGTTCTCAAGCCCTTCTGCACTTAGGGTGTTGGATAAGATTGTAAAGATATATTCAGAAAAAAAACAAATGTTAGGTGAGTGAAAAAGAGGGCGGTTACCTTCCAGTGTATTTCTAAAGCTGAAGTTGGCAGTTTTATCCATGGGCCCTGATTCATACTGGCTCAAACTCAGGCAAAATTCCACATCAGCTGAGGAGGGGAGCCTCTGGGTCCTGCCTTTGTCATGGTTTCCAGGGTTGCGCAGTAATGGTCCCTCCGCAGTCCCATTGCACAAGACCTGGCGGCTGTCGTACTCCTCCAGATGGCTACAGATGACCTGCACAAAACACCTGATGTTAAAGGAGTTGTCACCACCTCTAAGTCAAAGGAGAAAGTAGGGACGTTGAAGTTCCTTGTCACCATATTTTGATTTCTAATCATCAGTAGATTAATAGTTTAAAGTAAATTGTTGAAGAAAGCAGCTTTCGGAGGGTTGCAGAGTAAACCATGAAAGTTAAAATCTAGAAAAGAATTGTAATCTTTTATCTACTTAAGAAAACATGTTAAATTCCCTCAAATGGAGATAATATTAACTATTTCATATAGTTGTAAAATATTTATTTGATGAGAAAATTAACTTGAGGAATATTTGTTAATTAACTGTCATGCGACTTCACTGGTTTTATGCCACAAAATCTGGCCTGGCCCAGCGTTTAGAGGTGTACCCTCTTCTTTTTTCTCTTTCTGATCTTCTCTGGCTATAACAACCAGTTTCATGGCTTACATGCCCACTATGTATACTAATAAAAGGGTAATATGCTAATTAGACTGGACATCTTCGGGACAAAGCCATGGTGTCAGGGTCCAAGGCAGAGGCAGTTAGGAGCAATCAGGCTGGCAGGGGGGAGCAGTTGGGGGGCGATCAGGCCGGGAGGGGAGGGCAATTAGTGGGAGATCAGGCTGGCAGGGGGGAACAGTTAGGGGTGATCAGGCCAGCAGGCAGAGGTGGTTAGGGGTGATCAGGCAGGCAGGCAGGCATGCGAGCGGTTAGGAGCCAGCAGTCCTGGATTGCGAGAGGGATGTTCCAGAAATAATTTGAAAACTTAATCCAAAATCATTGTCTTTATATTTGATACAGAGGGGAGGCAGGGGAGGAGAGTGTTAGCACTAATGTTAGGATCACATAGATCACAGTAAGAAAGACTTGGTTCCCAATATTGACTCTTTATTAGCTACATGACCTTGGGCAAAATACTTAAGCTCTCTGCATATCAATTTTTTTCATTTGTAAATGGGGATTGTAACAACTTTTTATGAAGGACCAACTAATCTAATATGTGTAAAGCACTTAGTATGTAGTGCTAGGTATATAGTATTTAATAATAATAGCTCTTATAATTATTATTGAATATAAGATCATTCAGAAGGCCACCAAATTGTTTTTAACTCTGGCTCTATAATACTGGTTGAATATTCATTATTATAGTAAAATAATATTAATATTATTAATATTAATATTAATATATTAATATTAATATATAAAGATAAAACTAATATATAAAGATATATTGTAATAGTAATTTCTACACATGAAACTCAAAGAATATCTCATATACTAAACTAGTCATTTTGCACTAACAGATTTCATTAAATCTCATCATAATAATGCTTTATGTATATTATTTTAATTTTAAAGGAAAAGGTCTCAGAATAAATAATTTCTCTGGGATCTTGTAATTAGGTAAGTTAAAATAGTCTACTGCCGTGGTCAGCAAACTGCGGCTCGCGAGCCATATGCGGCTCTTTGGCCCCTTGAGTGTGGCTCTTCCTAAGCCTTAGGAGTACCCTGATTAAGTTAATAACAATGTACCTACCTAAATAGTTTAAGTTTAAAAAATTTGGCTCTCAAAAGAAATTTCAGTCGTTGTACTGTTGATATTTGGCTCTGTTGACTAATGAGTTTGCCGACTACTGGTCTACTGAAACTCATGTTTATATGACCAAAAGATTATATACCCTTTCCACTATCTTATTCTGTTTTCTATTGCTTTTAGTTTTTCCATTAACACAGAAAACAAGCGTATATGATAATTGTAACCTAGGTTTCTTTGGTTGTTAAAAAAATCAAAGGTCAAAGATTCTAAATTGTTTAATATCATCTGGTAATGGCAGCGAACTTCGGACAAAAAATGGTTCTTTTTCTATTTTTTTAAAATATATTTTTATTGATTTCAGAGAAGAAAGGAGAGGGAGAGAAAGAGATAGAAATATCAGTGGTGAGAGAGAATCATTGATCGCCTGCCTCCTGCACGCCCCCTATTGGGAACTAAGCCTGCAACCCAGGCATGTGTCCTTGCCCGGAATTGAACCCGGGACCCTTCAGTCCACAGGTCGACGCCCTCTCCACTGAGCAAAACCAGCCAGGGTTCTTTTTCTATTTTAACACAAGTGATTTATAAAATATGATGGGGAAAAATAAGTGTCTCAAGTCAAACGAAAAAGGGAAACAGAACAAACAGATGTATTAATGGAGAAGGTGAACCCAGTGATTTCTTAAATGTAAAGAAATAGCAATAAACTGTCATTTATTAAAAGTTTTCAGGAGCAAAGATTCTTCTTGTGGCATTAGAGGTTTTAACTGGAAAAAAACAGAAGACATATGACATTCCACAGAATCTTTTTCATAAAGAAAAAAAGAGCTGTTATTTCATTGAGCTGTTGCCATGGTTACATAAAACCCATGACTGTCTGCTAAAATGTGACTTTTTTTTTTTTTTCCCCTCTGTTTGCTTCCATGTGATGTGATGTACTTTTCACCTGATGAGTGAATTTCCTGGCCACATTTCACTCATATCTGTCATTGAGGAAATGTTTTTTTTCTCTCTATTTTAATCAATCAAGACAGCTACCCCTGATGTACCTTTTCTTTTTATGGCTAGCTTTTCTGCTGCTTGCATAACACTGGGTCTAATCGTGTTGAGCATAGGTATTTGTACTTTAATACTATTAAGAACCCCTCCATCTCTGGAAATAATAGACTGTTTTAATTGATAACAAGCATGCTTTTACTTAAAAAGATTTGGGCACTAAACAAACAGATAAATGAACAAACATACAAAAAATATGTGCATTCTGAATAAAAGCTTTCTAAGGAAACTAACATTAAGTACCTGATTTTTAAAATATTATTTTATTTCATAGAAATACCTACCATTAAATATTATTGATCACTTTAAATAACACTCAGATATGTTGTCACTCACTTGGTCTTCTTTATTGTGTGATCTCTCTCTTTAGTTTTCTCATGCACACACGCAAACACACACATAGAGAAACCCAGGGAGATAGAGCTATACAAAATGTATCCTTCCAGATTTTAAGTAAATTGCTGCTTATAATAGCCTGTTGTATCCTTAGCCGTGAGTATCTAATGCCATAAAGAATAGTGTAAGTAAGGTTCTAACGAATTCCAGCCATGCGGTTTCATTTTTAATGTTTGTTAGCATTGGAGTTAACATTTCTGTGAGTTTTAATTTTGTTCCATTCAAATGCATTTATAAAGCCCATTCCATGTATAGAGAGCATTGTCCCAGGCTTTGTGGATATAAAAATAGATGAGACATGGCCTCTACTTTGGAGCAGCGGACAACCTGGTGGACAAATATAGGTTTAAAAATAATGACATGCCCTGCAGAGTTATAGATGCTGTGCCATAGATCTGGACTAAATAAGTAATGGACCAAATGTACAAAATGTAACAATGCTAGCACAAAGGGGTTAGAGTTCATTCTACTTGAATAAGGATGTAGAATATTTTCATTACAGTATGAATGAAAGGACTACATTAGTGTATCTGCCCCGATTGTCTGTACAATTGATTTTTAAGGAAGTCAGAGTGACTACAACCCAAATTCCACATCCACTAATTAGTGGCTTATTTGGAATATAATTTGAGTCTAACTGGGAACAACATGGTTGACTTGGAATCGCACTGGAATCAGAGGCACTGGGTTTTAGTCCTTACCTGGATGACCTTGGGCAAATCATCCTGCCATTTGGGGCCTATCTTCCTATATAAAACGTGGGCGCTATACTAGATACTGTTGACTGGTCTTTTAGTCTCAGAGTTCACAAATGTTATGAATCTCTAAAACCTCTATTTTCCCCCCTTGCTTTCAGTTAAACGTACTGAAAGCAAAGGGGGGCGGGGCGGGGAGGAGGGGAAATGGAGGCTCTGTATCAAAGGAACTATCAAGCTAGCAGATTTGGAAGGTGTTAATTTGTATGAAGGCTTTGTGATTTTATCTCACACAAAATAGCCCAGTTCTTGATTTGAGTGTTCAATTCAGGCAAAAGCATTGACCCCTGTGGTGTGTTTATTACAGAAGCTGAGTTTATGAAGTGGAAGAAATATCAGAACAATCTCATGTTAATTAAATCAGTGATTCTCAGTGCTGGCTGTACATTAAAACCACATCAGAAGGCTTTAAAATGCAGGTGCCTAAACTTCGCAGTGGACCAACTGAATATGATTTTCTGTTAGAAATTCGATGCGTGGAGCCCATGCAATTGCTTTTAGTTTTTTTTGGTTTTGTTTTGTTTTTAAAATATTTTTAATGTATTTTTATTGATTTCAGAGAGGAAGGGAAAGGGAGAGAAGGTTAGAAACATCAGTGATGAGAGGGAATCATTGATTGGCTGCCTCTTACCTGCCCCCTACTAGGAATTGAGCCTGCAACCCAAGCATGTGCCCTTAACTGTGATTGAACCCAGGACCCTGAGTCAGAAGGCCAACGCTCTATCCAGTGAGCTAGACCAGCTAGGGCTTGTTTTGGTTTTTGAAGCTCCCTACATGATTTCAATGCTGAGAATTACTGAATTAATCAATATAAATAACTGATCTTGCCCCGTTTAGCTCAGTGGTTGCGCATCGGCCCATGAACCTGGAAGTCACAGTTTCATTCCCAGTTAGGACACATGCCCAGGCTTTGGGCTCAATTCCCAGTAGGGAGTGTGCAGGAGGCAGCCAACTGACAGCCCATGTCTCTCTCTCATTGATGTTTCTATCTCTCTATCTCTCTCCCTTTCTCTCTAAACAATTAAAATATTTTTTTAAATGATCTTAATTTTAAAAGGACTATAACATGAGAGGTTGTGTGAATAAATGGGAACAAACAACTAGAATTGGTTTTCATTGTCACTTCACACAGTGATACCACTCACAGTAGGTGAATACAAATGTTTCATTCACTTCACCTTCCTTATTTAAACTACTTTTTGCTTAGTTTTCTTCAATGGCCTTTGTCCACCCTACACCCTATTTCATTTTTAACACCAGTTACTACATAGCAGGTTAAACATAGAACTACATTGAACCTAATGTTATAACAATCTAGTCCAACACTTACTTATTAGACCTTATTTTTATGTAGAAATAAAATTGGCTGCAATCATAAAAGCAAAAAAAGGAACAATTTTCCACTCGATAATTAATAAATGATTTGAAAATAATTACAAATATAATTCTGGTATTACTAAGGAGCATGCATCTCATGTAATTAAATACCAGTTAATATCCATCTATTAGATGTTGTAACTGTTTTTTTTGGTAATTTAGATAACCCTCCTGACTTTCTGGGTCAAGTGAAGCTGCATAGTTAAGGAAAGCATTACAACTCACTGAAAACCCTACATCCAACCTTAGCAATATTTTAAGCAGTAACAGAGCATGTGAGAGCTAGGTGAGAGTTTTATACTTTATAGATTAAGGCAGGAGGTCTGAAGGCTTATTGAAATAGATTTCTTTTTGCAAGGACCTCTTTTTCCAGACTTTCCTACACAAATACACTCATTAATCTTGATAAATAGCTGACATTAGTGACCACAGATATTATACAGCGACCATTTTTCAATGAGCTTCAATAGGTTCCATTTGGAAAGTGTGTGAACTTAGTCTGTGTTGCAGGGGTTGGCGGTTCGGGGACAGATGGGAAGCCATCCACATTTGGAAACGTGGAGTGCAAAATGCAAATATAAGATTCTTCACATTTTGTTTAAATAGTGGACTTAGTTCCATAAAGCACTGCTAGACAAAACAGCTATAATAGAAATGTTTGGAGTACAAGCAGAAAAGCATTCCTTCTACCTTGTGGTTTAAAATGATTAATAATTAAAAAGCATATTTATTTGGTTACCTTTTGTCCCTAATTCAGAGTGAAAAATTTAGAAGAGGAGAAATAGAAATTAAATTTCAAAATAGCAATCCCTTATCTTGTACCTCTAAGTGTGCACACTTTAGGGAGCGGGGAGCTAATTTCTTCTGCAGCCGATTGAAAAAAGTCAGACAGAATGAGCTGGATCCTTCGGCTAAAGACACCCACCATAGCAGTGATATCCTTGAAAATAGTATAGACTAGCCATGACGCCAAGCTACCTGAGAATAAATCTTGTCTCTGCTACTAACTAGCTCTGTGATCTTGCACAAGTTACCTAATATCTTTTTATACCTTAGGTTTCTAATCTTTAAGATGGGAAAAGTTAGTAAAACTATTAAATCAGTTAATGTACAAAACCCAACAGGGTTTCACACATGCTAAATGCTCAATAAAGATTAGCTATTTTTTTTGTGGTTTTTGTTTGCTTGTTTGTTAATTCTCACCCAGTGATATTTTTTCCATTGATTTTTAGAGAGAGTGGGAGGGAAGAAGGCAGGGGAAGAAGGGGGCGCCCATTGATGTGAGAGAGACAAATCCATTGGTTGCCTCCCGCACTCACCCCGACCGGGGCTGGAGATTGAACCTGCAACCCAGGAAAGTGCCCTTAACTGAAAATCGAGCCCGAGACCCTTTGGTGTGTGGGCTGGCGCTCTAACCATTGAGTACACCAGCCAAAACAGCTGTTTTTATTATTTACCTACTTGAGCCTTAGGGTTCTTGTATGTTTTTTAAAAAGAAGATTTAATCTAAAGAATATTCCCCCAATTTTCCTGCCTATTAATCCCCAGACATTTAGCAAATGATAATACTTCCCTAGGACCCTCCACTAAAGATTCTAATCAAAGGTTTTGTGATAAGGCCAGGGATTTGTACTTTAATATGTGCTCCGTATGGATTTTGTTATGAAGAAAATTTCAGAAACACTGATGTAGATCATTTATTTAATCATCTAAACATTCATTCATCCATTCCTTCAACAAATATTTAATAAGCCCTTACCATTTGCCGGTCACCATCCTAGATGCTGGGGGGTGAATCAAATACTCTATTGATTAGACCTTAGGAACCTGGTAGAAGATATCAGACGAATAAGCTCAGATATCTATGTAACTACAATTGTGAAGTGTGCACTAAAGGAAAAATAACCAGGTATGTTGAGAGTTCTTAATGGGAGACCTTTTCTATTCTTGGCAGAAGAGGTGAGGAGGGAGGCTTACACAGCCCTGCCTGAAGAAGTGATTACTAAGTCTCCTTTATGCTCTGATACTGTATGTCCAGCACACCTTACCTGCCAAGAGGAGAAGAAGGACGCTGGGCTGAGAAGGTTAGGGTTTGCTGGGTTGCGCCCTCCCATTAATTCATCTGTGCAGATGTCACAGTTTTCAGCATCTCTCCAATCCCAGTATGGAATGGTGAAGTTCTCATCCCCTGTTATCTTCTGGATGCCTTGTTCCCACAGCAATAAGAAGAATCTGTGCCAAGGCAGGAAACCCGGTGCTTCATGAGCAAAATCAATATCTTTCCAGATTTCAGACCCCCCAAGCAGTGTGTCCATGGACACATAGTAGTGCATCCAGACAAAGAGGTTATAAATGCTGATGTCATTAAACATGGGTGTTGACCCATTATTCATTTGGCGATGGGTGCCTATGGGGATGACATAGTCTGAGCTGGTAGTACGCTTTGCTAAATTGAGGTAGGCAAGAAATTTGTTCTTCTCTGGAACACTCAAATCAAAGATGTTCCTTCTCACCAAGAGTCGTCTCTTTGTACAATTTGGTCCCCAAAAGCCAAACTTGCAATTTCCACAGTTGAATCCCATGAAGTTGCCAGAGCACTGGCAGGTCCTGTTATAGAAGACAGAGGGCCAAGACTCCCGGTCATCCACCCCTGTGAAGGGGAATTGAGGCCCATGGGGTGCATTGGACAGAACAACGTCCTGACAGGATCCCCTGCCGGAAAGCTGGCCACAGGGACTCCCATCACCGCTCCATGGTGGGCAGCATTCCTTCTCTATCAGGTTCTTGGAGGACACACAGGCTCGAGGGAATTGGCCTTCGGAGGTCTGGAAACTCCACAGCAGGCAGTACAACACAGCAGGTAGCATTCTTCCTCTAGTCCTCACAAGGCCTGTTTGCGCTGTGCAATTGAGCAACACAATTTTCTTTCAGCTAACCTTCCAGTGACTATCACATGTTTTGGCTCAGTCCTATATAATGCCACTCCCTCCTCCAGCATCAAACACTCTCAATGTTTGATGATCTTAAGCTTTCATCTTCTGAAACCCACATGACTAACTTTTCTTTAGAGTTGGCATGTATCCTGCAAGTGGGATAGCCCTATGTTAAAGTGAGAAACACTCTTCACCATTAATAGTTTCGTATGGTTAGAATGCTAGTAAAATAATATTATTAATGATAGTAATGCCTGATCTATGTAAACCCAGTTCACTGACTATGAAGTGGATGCTGCTTTGAATTTGAAAATAAGAAGTAGTGTCAGTAACAGAGCCTCTCCTGTTAAGAAAACTCACGAAGTGTTAGATATAATGGTTGTAAGGTAGATGCTTTTCAGAGACCGTAAATAGAATAGGCCACAGCATTTGCAGGTCAGCTTTGGAAAAAAAAAAAATCTTTTTCAGAGCCTAAAGATTATTTCTTATATATGATTATATTGCAGGTTCTTTATTTTCTATAAAGACAAAAATCTTTCTGCTACTCCTCCCTGATTATCTTGGTGCAGTTGGCCGCTTGCTAGCTCTCTAAGTACTCATTTTCTGACAATTCCTAAGGATAAGTGACTTTGATAAGCAGATGACCTGTCTTATTTTGAGGACTTTTACTATTTAAAATTCCAAAGGAAACTCTTTTTGTTTTTAATGCTGTAGTCATTGCAAAGTTTTCAATTTAGTGAGTGAATGAAAAAGAATTATTGTACAGGGTGTCCCCCCAAAAAAATGTATATACACTCTAACAGCTGATAGCTCAATTTTAAAAATGAAATGTATTTTAATAAACACAGCCTTTATAATTATTCAATGTGTGTGTATACATTTTGGGGGCACCCTATATTCTACAAATATTTATTGATCATATAAATTCTTTCAGGAATTCTTTCTCTGGGTGTATAGTGAACTAGATAAATTAAAATGCATGAATAGAAATATAACTTTACCACTTACATTAGTTTTCAAATGAGTAGTATAGATCATAAGTACCTGAGACTATATATGTATAAAGAATATATATATATACTAGAGGCCCGGTGCACAAAGATTTGTGCACGCGGGGAGGAGGGAGGGTCCCTCAGCCCGGCCTGTGCCCTCTCGCAGTCTGGGACCCCTTGGGAGATAACGACCTGCTGGCTTAGGCCTGCTCCCGGGTGGCAGAGGGCAGGCCCAATCCCTAGGTGCAGCCCCTGGTTGGGCTCAGAGCAGGGCCAATTGGGGAGTTGGGGCACCGCCCCCTGTCATGCACAGAGCAGGGTGGATCGGAAGGTAGCGATGCCACCCTCAGTCATGCTCAGGGTAGGGCCAATTGGGGGGTTGGGGCACCGCCCCCTGTCACACTCAAGGCAGGGTCAGTGGGGAGGTTGTGGCGCCACACCCTGTCACACACAGAGCAGGGCCAATCAGGGGGTTGGGGCGCTGCCCCCTGTCACAGAGCAGGGCCCATCAGGGGGATTGATGCTCTGTACCCTGTCGCGCACAGAGCAGGGTCAATCAGGGGGTTGGGGAGCTCCCCCCTGTCACGCACAGAGTAGGGCCGATAGGGGACTTGGGGCACCGCCCCCTGTCACACACAGAGCAGGGCAGATCAGGGGGTTGGGGAGCCACCACTGTCACACTCAGGGCAGGGCCGATGGGGAGGTTATGGCTCTACCCTGTCACAGAGCAGGGCCCATGGGGGGCGGGGGTTGAGGCGCCGCACCCTGTCACACACAGAGGTGCAGGGCGATCAGGGGGTTGGGGAGCTCCCCCCTATCAGGCACAGAGCAGGGCTGATCAGGGGATTGGGGCACCTTCCCCTGTCATGAACAGAGCAGGGCGGATAGGGAGGTTGAGGCCCCACCCCCTGTCACACACAGAGCCACAGGGTGATCAGGGGATTTGGTCGCTGCCCCCTGTCACACTGATCCCGGTGCCAGGAGGCCTCGCGGCTCCACTGATCCCGGTGCTGGGAGGCCTTGCGGCTCCACTGATCCTGGTCCTGGGAGGCATATTACCCTTTTACTATATAGGATAGAGGCCTGGTGCACGGGTGGGGGCCGGCTGGTTTGCCCTGAAGGGTGTCTTGGATCAGGGTGGGGGTCCCCACTGGGGTGCCTGGCCAGTCTGGGTGAGGGGCTGAGGGCTGTTTTCAGGCTGGCGGGTGACTGAAGCTCCCAACTGCTCCTTTTTTTCTTTTTTATTCTGGGCCAGCTTTAGCTCTGGCTCCAGCTCTGAGGCCTCTGCTGCCGAAAGCAGGTATCTGGTTTGTTTGCGTTCTATAATTGAAACACTGTATCAACTCCAGCTCTGAGATCCCGGCTGGCTGAAAGCCCGGCTGGGGTTTTGTTTAGCTTCTATATTTGTAACTATGTTTCAAACTGCAAGCTCAGAGGCGGCAAGGCAGGCGGGGAAGGTTGGAGTTCTCCGTCACTGAAGCAAGCAAGCCTCATGTTAGCTTCAAGCTGCCTGGCTGCTGCCCACCATCTTGGCTGGCAGTTAATTTGCATATCTTGCTGATTAGCCAATGGGAAGGGTAGCGGTCGTATGCTATTTACCATGTTTCTCTTTTATTAGATAGGATATTTCAGAGAGGAAGGGAGAGAGAGAGAGAAACATCAGTGATGAGAGAATCATTGATTGGCTACCTCCTGCACACCTCCTACTGGGGGTTGAGCCCACAACCCAAGCATGTACCCTGATCCAGAATTGAACTATGACCTCCGGTTGACAGGTTGACGTTAGCACACCAGCCAGGCAGTACACAAGGCTTTTAATGGTAGGACATCTTGTGAACTGAGGATCCTTGAAAGAATTGCATAGTAGTTGTTTTTTAATTAATAATATTCACATTTTATTTAGGGAGTGCCTTGAATAAAACCTTAAATGGTGGGGATAAGTTTGAAAGACTAATGAGAATTGAGACATTACTTCAGGTAGGCAAAACTATGGAGGTGGGAGCTATGTTTCATTGGCAGAGTTAGAGCATTGGATTCAGATAGGTTCCCCATGGAGGGGCTTAAAAACTAACTAGTTTGAACTAAGGTGAATTAGAGGATAAGAGTAGCCAAATCAAAGTTGCCTCTCTGAGACTTCTCACTTTCCTTATCCTACTCCATACTCAAAGCTGGGTGCTCCCAGGAATATAAAGAACAAGTGAGAGAAGTGAAAACTGAGGAAAGCAGCAGGGCCAGGGCTCTTGGCTGCAGGGTTCTAGGGAAGGTCATCGTTATCCTGGTAACCTTGAAATACCAGCCTTGTCTGCTCTCTTCCTTTTCTGCTGGAGTGGATCTGGTGGAAAATGTCAAGGTTCCTCCATACAACTCTTGTGAGACTCAAAGCAGCCTTTTTGGTTGAAAAGAGCAGTGTGTGGGTGAGGAGGAAGAGAAGTTTTCATGGGAATGCTGCCTCTGGCTGGGATCAGGAAGTCATCACATGATCTCCACAAGGAGGCTTAATCTTTTTTCTTCCTCCTTTTCACAGCCACAAAGAGATTAAAACATGCTCCTTGTCTCTGGGGAGTCTTGAATCTGTATTACTTTTAACCACATGGGGCCTTTTGTAATTCTGTTCCATCTACTTGCAGACAGAATTCAACTTCTCATGTTAAACTTAATGAAGAATTTTGCTTTACACTTGCCCCCTATCAGGCTTCTCAGTAAATAACTTAGAAAGCCTCCATCACACCCCCGGGCTTCTGTGTCTACAACCCCAAGTCTGTTTTCTTAATCTTCAGAGTGTGCTCAGAGGAATGGCTAAAATGTAGTTTGTCCTCTTAATTTCTTTTACAAGGTTGATTTCTTTAAATTAACAGACCTTGTTGTTATTCTGAAATATAGGACACTAACTCCTCTGGCCCATATGTACGTGTCTTATTGTCAATACAAACTTCTTAAAGGTCAAACCTCATTTAGGCTGGTTATTCTCTGAACTGTAGTTGTACATCCTCTAGGTGTCTCTGGTTTATAGAATTGAGTGTCCTATTGAAACCAAAGTGTTGTGATCGGGTCCGCGTTTGTTGTCTGGCAAAATCAAGAATGAGTTCACAGAAAAGATGTTAAGAAAAGCAAAGTTTATTGAAAGATAAATGGACTCCCTGCAGCAGAGAGTAGCAGGGAGGGGGCCCAAGCAGTTGCGGGTTATAATTCTTGGTCTAGGGGTAGATTTATGTTTTTCTGGCTTCTGATTGGTTCTTTCACAGAATTCTGCCTTAGCAACATCCATACATTTTAAAGCTCACATCTCTGGCATGCACCCTTCTTCCACCTAGCCGGATTGCCTTAGCAACTCCTGCCTAACTGGGTCTAGTCCAGTGGTTGGCAAACTGCGGCTCAGCAAGCCGTGGCTCGCGAGCCACATGCGGCTCTTTGGCCCTTGAGTGTGGCTCTTCCACAAAATACCGACTTCTGCGCGTGGGCCATGAAGTTTCAATCGCACTGTACGTGTGCGCCCACACGTGGTATTTTGTGGAAGAGCCACCCTGAAGAGGCCAAAGAGCCGCATGTGGCTCTCGAGCCGCAGTTTGCCGACCACGGACTAGTCTTTCCTGCCTATGGTCTCATCCCTGACTACCTAGCCCTCTTCTATCTCCTCACTATCCTTTCCTGGAGGATTATTATATGAGTCAATCCATCAGTTAATGCAATACTCTATTAACCAAAATAGGGGCTCAGTAAATCTTTGCAAATATTGTTGAGCATCTATTATCTGGCATATGCTGAGCGATGGGGATGCCATGGTCAGCACAATAGAGAGGTTTCTACCTTGTGAAGCATGCTAATGTCTATTATGATAATATTTTAATTTTAGTAATTTGAAATCATATTTATAACTATGTACATAGATTTTCAATAGTTTCCCCCCTCTGGTTAAATGACTTTTTAAGCTGTTACTATGGACAGAACTATGAGGGAAGATGGCAGGACCTATGTCGTCTCATGAGTTAGAGTCAAGGTTTTC